GCAGTGTTTCAGACACATCACAAACTGGACAAAAGTCCGCCTTTTGATAGTCATGACAGTTGCAGTCGTCCTTTGCTTTTCTCATCTCATCAGGCCATTCCTGTCATCTGCCCCAGATTTGGACGCGAGCCAACCGAATCAGACTGGACGGACGGAAATAACTGCTGCGAAAACGCCAACCCAGGGGGAGTTGATGGAACCCCAGACACAGAAGCAAAGAGTAGGTGTGGGTGCAGGGCATTGGGGATGGGAACCCCCACGCTGGCTTCTCCCACGCGCGCCCGCGACGACCCTGATGCCCTTCTATCCTTTGGCTGGCTCTGGCCCTGACCTTGGATGATTGTCGTCAGGGTGCAGCCGCAGCTCATTGATGATGTGAATTTCACAAGCGGGGGAACGAATCAGACATGCCCGTTGGACCGAGGATAAAAAAGAACAACAAACACAAGCGAGTCGTCCGTCGGTGGCACTTGACTCAGCTGAATCGTTGGCTTCACTTCCCTGAAGTCCAAGTCGTATCGTCGTCGGCCCGGCGGTCGATGGCGTCTCATCAAGCTTGGCTTTTCTGGGGCCGAAAGCTGTTGGCGCTTTCAATGGACGGAGAGGATCCAATGTTTCCCTTTTCCCTTCCCCGCTTCCAATGTCAACTTGGATCCATCGCCGGGGAGGTTTTGCTTGGACCGGCCCCGCAAGCCAATTCAACCGCTTGCCTATGCCCATGCCATGTCGAGTCGGCAATGTTGAACGGAAGTCAGGGGGAACTGCCTACAAGGTTTCCACCGTATCCGATGGAGGATTGAAGATACCGACTAGAGATAGAGAGACCCTTGCTTGAGAGGGAAGAGAGAAAAGGAACCGAACCCCACCTTGGGTCCTGGACGGGAGTGATACCGTAACTACAAAGTAGCGGAGTACGGATAGTTGTCATGAGAAGGACAATGGGCTTGGAGAGGGCACACCCCATATGTGCGGTGATGTAATGTCCAGAGTCAGTCGGCAGTCGCTCGCTGCGGCCGTGACCGGACACGCGGTGCTTCGATCGTCCCGGAGGTACGCACGTCGTCCGCGTAACTACACTTGCCAGCTAGGTACATTATTGTAGGCATGTTGGTGGGAATTTGTTGATGGTGGAGATTTTGGTGATGGAGGCTTGAAAGCTGTGGGTTTGGCTGGACATTGCATCCAGGAAAATTCATGCACTGGAGCACGGGCTCCTCTGGGTTCACCCACATGGGCTCAAGGATTGATGGATCTTGGGAGTAACCTCGTACGCAATCTACATATCATGTAATCACCATCTTGTCTTGTCCTATCCTTCACCTCCATTCATTCCAAGCAAATAAACCCACATGGATGGATCATCGTCAACAAAGCGGGAAAAAATTCCCCGCCCCATCCGTCCCTCCCATGTGGTGCCCATGCGGCTACGGGTGAATCAGTTGCCCACGGGGCTGGTTTGATAGGATAGGCCCCGTACGACCTCTCTCTCTTTGTTTCCTTTCTTCTTCCTCGGACTTTTTCTTCCCTCCCTTCGCGTGCACCACCAACTGGATATCAAGGTCTGGGTCTGCAAACGATGATGCACATCATAGTAACACGCTTGTCAACCACACCCTTTTTATCCCGAGTTAGCGGCCTTTGCTTCCCGCACACACACACAAGCAGGCACACACACACACAGGAACAAGATTGTGACGGCCCGCAGACAAGAAGCTTTCGGGAGAAACATTGGAAGAGAACTTGGAGCCTGACCGAGTGAAAGAGACGGTGTGCAAAGAATGAATCCATTGAAAAACGATGCGCACCCCTGGTTTGCCATAAACTGACTTTTGTTGCGTAATGGCGTCGCAAAGACGCAAGAGTAAGCCAGCAACACGCACCGCAAGACGGCGAAACGTGCTCGGCGGGGTGGATGAGACGACCACCGCTGGTTGGCAGGAAGGTACCTACCCAAGGTACATGGTAGACTTCCATTCCCAGGGCCGCTAAAACGCCAGGGCAGGTGCTTCTCAGTGACTTCCATACAGCGGCCCCTCCTTCCTTCTTCCCTGTGCCTGGCTGCGGCTGCCAGCAAGCAGCAGCAGCAGGTCCCCCCCAGGCAGGCGCGCCCCGGTGGAGAAAACCAGGCGTCCCCCCCCAGCCCAGTTGCCCAGTGCCTCCCTCTCGGGTGGGCCACGGGCGGCAGATGGAGGGGCCCCTACCTTGATTGCTAGTCGCTGGAGCTAGGCACTCTGTAGGCAGGCGCGATGGTGGCTGCTCCTGCATCGTCACCAAAGAGGCATTGCGACAGAGCACCGCGTCCCATCGTCACCTGCCCACCCTTTACCCAACACCGTGGATGAATGATGACGGACCAAACCACCACTATCAAATCAATTTGGGCGGGCAAACCCTTGAGGCCATCTCTTTCCCGGTCTTGGGAGCTCCATCCTCCGGGGCGAACCCACACACAAGTTTCCCTGGACCCTTGGAAGATCATCAACAGAGATGCACACCCCCTCCTACAATGTACTGAAGCTTCAATCCCACACCCCCGATGGCCGGTGGATGCGTCCCTGACATTCGTCCGTTCCGTGATCCATCCATATCCTCTAGCTCCGATCGGGATGAGCGGAGAGGAACATGCACGAGCTGCTGCTCGCTGGCTGCGGTCGCTGCTGATACGCGGCTGCACGGCGCAGCTAGAGTCCTAGGGATCATGCTCTTGCTCTCGTCGGAGCTTGCGCAAGTCGCAGTACGGTGCGGTACGGTGCTCCTTCACAGACATGATGATGACGAGATACGTCTCTGAGATTCCCCTCCAAACACCATCGTGTCCGAGCGACGCTATCATGTGCCGTAGCTGAGCTAGGGACGCCAGGTATCCCAAAGGTCCCCTTGTTGCTCAAGTTCGCATCGACGTGTACCTGGTTCGCACGTCTGATAATGCAACCCTGGTGCCGCACGCGTATCAGGATGGATCGCTACCTATCTATCACGGTTGCGAGTGCCAGGTCAAAGATACAAAAGAGACCCCCATTCCCCAGACCCCGTCCAGGTTCAAGGTGGTTGGTCTGTGGTCAAGCTGCCTACTCCATCCTCACCTCTTCAACCTTGATATCATCCGTCCTCTTCCCACTCACTCTTGGGCTGAGCACTGTTGCTATTGCATCGTTTCGAAAGAACCAGTTACCATTCATTATATACAATCTCAGCCTGCTGCTGCCTTCTCTCGTTGATGGCTCAGGAATCAGCCTGTTGATAGCGTGACGACGTCTGCGGACATCGTATCAGTCAGCTTGAGACACCCTCACCCTCACAATCGACGCCCTTGACATACGCACGCGTCTACCGACACACTGGCCAGCCGCTCACGCTCAAGCACAAGGCCTCACGCTTCCGTTTCTGCATCCCAACTGACACATCCTCTCCACACCACGCCACTGTAGAGCAACGAATCCCCAGCGGGATCCCAATCCACCAAAAAAAAAGGGTCACAAGAAGTCTCCGACTTTTCGACAAGCCCATAATTGCAGGTTTCCCGCCTGTTGTTGGGACCAGTCCTTGCCGCGACCCTGCAAGTCCCCTTGTCAGAGGACTGGCACCCTGAGAGGATCCTCGGCCCAACCCTGTCCCAGCTTCTCGCGCAATCCGATAGTCGCAGCTCGCAGTGTCGATTGCGGCGGGTCATTGGCTGACTTGTTGCGGGCGTCCCATCTCCGCTTTCGGCTCCTCGCTCACTCAATCAATCACGACAACCTGTCGAGCGAGTCACCATCCCAGGTGACTGACAGGTGCCCCAGCTTGATACTTAAGACTCGCGTGCCCCGACTTCGCCTGCCTTGAGTCTGGTTGCATTGAATCATCCAGAACGACGATTGCGTACCGCCATCACCATCACCATCATCGAAGGCATACAATAGAGACAATTCCTCTTCCCTCTCTCCCTCGCTACAGCACCATCGAACCTTGTCGTCCTGTCTCCACGCTCCCCCAGCGAAACCAACAACACCAACCAGCGCTAACAAGAGCGCCCCTTTCGACTACCACCCGGCCCCGTCGCCTAAATTTCGACTTACACGACACTTGGACGTTCGGCCTCTTTTGGTCCCTGGCATTGTCCTTGCAACTCGACGCTTGAACAGTCTATACCGCTTCTTACGGCGGCCGAATCAGACATAGCTTGAGCCTCGTCTCCACGTTTGCGCATCTCTATTCTCGCCTGCGGTGCCTTTACGGTGACGCAACGTCGAGTCTGTCTCTCGTGAAGTGGATTCATTGTGAAGGAATTTTTCACTCATCGAGATTCGGGAGTTTAAAAAAGATCACCCACCGGGGCTTCCCCAAGTCGTTATTGAGCCTAAAACAACCCGTGCGACGATCCCGTCTCTTACTCGCCCATCTGGGATATCTCGCCGAACAAATCTTGCCCTACGTTTATTACTAAAAATTTCTGTCCGACTATCATATCTCTGTTCTGAGGATCAATCAGTCCAACGTCTTTCTACCCGTCCGTCTACCCGTCCGTCTCGATCCGCAATCGTTCTCGGGGAATTTGTTGTCCTGTCGTCCCTGCACGCGGCCCCGAACACAATTTGCCACCCCGAGTTACCCTGGCATCACACAATTCTGGAATTGATCCAGACACGGACAAGGACAAGAAAATTTTTTTGCAACCATCTCTTTGTTCCCCCCGTGCCCCCTTCTTTGATCAAATCAGGGAGAAAGGGGAAATCTGCAGCCTAGTGTCCGTCCACGATAAGGCCCCCCCCGCAGTCGAACCATCTATTACTGGAGAGGCGGCTTCCCACCCGACCCCAGCGGCTCCAATTGCCCTAAAATTTGGTACCGTCCACTGGTTTACAGGCGGTACCAGGCCAAGTCTAAGTACCTTGTCGACCCTTCTCGTCGGCTATCCTTCACCGGGCCTCATATCATATCACCCTTCCCCCCCTCTCGATTGAGGTGTCGTCCTCTATCAGTCTCTCTTTTTCCCTCTTCAACACCTTTTCACACACACAATGCATCACAGCCGGAAAAAGTCTGGTCACGGCCTCCCCAACACATCATCAACAGACGTGCGAAAGACTGTCACAGCGACCGACCCTTCAAAGTATAAGCGGCCCGTCATGACTCGGCGACACACTCCGCAGAAACTCGGCCGAAGCCAGCGCGAACGTGAACGAGAGCGTATAGAGTCTTGGGAGGATGAGAGGGAGAGCTTCCCGCAGTTCTGGTACGTCTCACGTCATCTCATCTCTTTGATTTCGACTTTCCGGATCGGGTTCATCCTCTGAGGGTTCCTTGCTTTTTGCCCTGGCAGTCGCAATGCCGTCATGCTCAGGAACCAAGCACAGCCCCTGGCGTCAGAGAGAAGCCGAACCGGAGGGCGACGGAATTCGTTCTAGAAACCCCTCCAATGAGTGAGTTTGCTGACGATACGATAGCATGACGTGCGAAAAGCAATTCATCCCTCGTGATGACATGTTCCTGTACTGCTCCGACAGGTATGTTACGAACCCACTCAGCGGTGGACCTCGATCCCCCCGTGAGTCCCGGACGATGCTAATTATGGCTGCTACAGTTGTCGAAGGGTTGATCAGACTTCGACGTCACAACCGGCCTCGTCGGTCCGCCATTACGCGTCGGCCAACTACCCATTCTACACGGCGGGCAACCCCGAGCCCAAGGACATCATCCCGCGGGCATCGCCCTCGCGACCCAGCTCGATGCTGCTGAGCTCCCCACCGGCGACCCCAGGGGCCGGAGCTTCGGCTTACCAACACACTTCGGCCATTTCGGCGCTCCGGTCCCTCAATGTCCGGCCGCCTAGCCCTCCGTCCCCGACGGGCAGCTCGACCAACCTGTGGCCTTTTAGTCGCAGCGCAGCGACCAGCCCGCACAGCTCGTACGGGCGACCTTCTGCGGCGTACTTTTCTTCAACGTACGACGGTGGCTACTACGGCGCTGGCAGCGGCGCATACACCTACGATGTGACTTCGGCGGGAATGGACCGGCCTCTGCCTTCACGTCACCCCGGCACCTACTCTCGACCCAAGAGCATCGAGCTTGTGACACCCATGGTCGGCAGATGAGATGGACGCGAACCATGTCTCAACGTATGGCATCTTGAGCCGTCAGTCGGGGCCTGTCATCCGCATCCATGGCAGCCTGCGTGAACGCCGTGAGGCTGGCAGCAGGCTGGCTGGTGTGGTAGCACAGGCTGAGCTGAATGGCGGGAGAGTGCCTGCGGGGGGGGGGGGGGCTAGGCCTGTTGGTGAGCGTGTCACAACCGCGGCGCCGGGCATACATGCGACGGGGATTGGGTGAGGCGGTCGGGGCAGGATTGATCACGATTGCAGGCCCTTTTGCGGGGTTTGCAAGTCGGGGGTTACTACTGCACTGAGCTGCACTGCACTGCACTGCATTCAAGTACAGGTACAGGTACCAGCAGGGGTTCAGCCAAGGCCCTTGACCTTCTGTCTTGTCTTTCTTTGCTCGCCTTGTCCAATCTGGGAGGGAGCGAGACATGGCGCTGCCAGTTCCCGGTTCCTAGTTTTGTCGAGTTCCCACTTGGCACTGGAGGAAGCACAGCACGCGGTGCTCGAAGTGGGCTTGTTTTTTTATTCCTCATTTTTCTTTCGTTCCTTTTTGTGTGTTTCGGTTGGGTTTTTTGGTGGTTCATGTTGTACCTTGGGAGGGGCTCTCTTGCTGACGGGACACTTCCCCGGCGCTCAAAAGTGTTTTTTTATTTTTTTTATTATCGTTTCTTTTTTATCTCGCATCATCAGCATTCCACCATGATCATGTTGGAACGGAGTTGGCCGGCACTTTTGTCATTTTTTTTTTCTTTCTCTCTTTCTATTATTATTCTTTTTTCTTTTCTTTTCTTGTCTGCCTGCCTTTCGGGGACCATCGGTAATTTCGTTTGGCGATCCCCCGCTTCTGGCTCTGCAGGTCTTGTCTGTCCGTCTGCCTGTCCCCTGGCTACACACACATCCCGTCACACAGACTCTGCCGCCCCTGGTCTGGTCTGGTTTGGCTCTTGCAGCCGGACAGAACAGGCCAGGCCAGGCTACAGGGTCATGCCTCCCTGGACACTGCCGCGAGCTAGTGTGGGAGTCGACGGTGGTCTTTCCCCAGGCTTCTTGTTCTTCCCCTGAACTACGGATACCACCTCGCCTACGTGCTTGGGCGGCATTCATGGGCACAGGCATGCATGGATGGGCAGTCGACTGTACTGCATGGCACGACACGGCATGATGTTTTTTATTAGAATTAGCATGAGCATAGCATTAGCATCTGGTGGGCGGTTACCTCGGCGGTTGTATAATTTGTCGGACTCTTTGCATTTACTTACTTCTCTGTCTGCACTACGGAGTACTTTGTTACAACTCTACTCGGCTCGTCTGGTCTGGTTGGCATGGATCATCAAATCGCACCCCTCATCCTCCTTCTCTTTCTCTGGTGGTCATTTCCTGTCTCATCACACACACACACACACACACACCAACCAACGAGAACGAGTCATCTGTCTTGTCTTGATTGGGCTTTCTTCTCTGGGAGGCATTCACTGATCGTCTTTTCTGGTGGCGACTCAGCAGCAACAACATATTTCAAGCATTTTCTATCATTGACGAAAGGCATCTATATATTATGCCGACGTTCTTATGGGTTACGCATTATTGATTTATACGCATGGGAGGTTTCTTTGAGCGCATTTACACATATATACCATGCAAACATACAAACAAGATATACCTAGAAGCATTAGCATAACATAACATCCATAGCATTCATGATACACGGATAATTCATCATCAACGACTATTACCTCATTCTCTCACTCATCTCTTGCTCTCGCTTGTTGTTAATCAGCCAGCCACCCTCCATCACCGTCGCCGACCCCATGTTTTTTTTTTTCTTTCTCTCTCCCACCCCCGGATTTTCCCCAGATTTTCAACAAACCCTTTCCGCATTCCGCATTCCCGCCCCCCATGCCCGCTACTTTTTACCCCGGACTCTTTGTTGCTAGTCCACAGGGGGGATGACGGAAATGTGCAGGCGAGAAACATTTTGTAAGAATACCTTGTCAGACAAGCAAAAAGGATTAGTTCCTTGCGTTGTGGCGGCATGCACCTCGAGGGCGCGGACGCGGGGGAGGCGTCATGTGAACAAGCACGAGGCGTTTCCGGGGGGTTCGAGGGGGAAATAGGGGGGGAGAAGGGCCTGGTGATCTAAATGGGGGTTAGGTTTTGAGAGCTGAACAAGAAGGAAAAGATTATGTAGTTGTTCGCGTGATTTGGAGACCATGTATGTTGTACTTGCATTTGCATTTGCGTGGGGGGGATGTGAGCATCATTCATCATGTCGGTGATCATCTCAACAAGTTTTTTTTCTTGTTTGTCTGGTGATACCGAGTATCTGGATCAAAGATCAACTGCCTTTGTCGATCCTACGTCTTCACCGACACATCCATCTTGTGAAGGCGCGCCATGGTCAAGATCCTCATGACGGCAGTTGTTCCTTGGAATCAAACCCAAGTTCTAGGGATTGGTTACCCAAATGTCTCAGATCTCCTTGTTTTTTTTTTTGGGTCCGTGTGTGAGAGAGATCTGCTTGCGTTAGTTTTACACCAAGGCCTTTTCGTCTAGGCTGGTTCATGCTTGGGAAGCTTTTCTCTCTCACCGAGGCCGATCTTGTCGAAGTACTTGGTTAGCTTCTTTTCTCCGTTGTCGGCCTGTCTCTGCCATCTTGACTCTTGATTTACCCCAAAGGCACATTGTCAAATAGTACGGTCCATCCTCGTCATGGCTAGAAACACCATGTGTCTCTTCTCTACTAACTGGTAATCTACCTGATTCAGCCGACACCACATGGCAAATACGCAAATATCGTAAACTTCTATATAAAGCAAGGTTCGTCAACAGTCAATATTAACATTCCCCATCATGAAACAACACCCATGTTACACAATACACAAGCAACACAATACATGACAATTCCCAATTTCATACGGCATGAGCCTATACACTCCATCATCGCTTGATCTAGTCAACAGTATAATATCTCCTCAGGAGACAAACCATGAGAATTCAGTCTGCCAGTAAACAAAAAACCAAAAGCGTGGCATTTGATACAAAGCAGAAACAAAAACCACCACATCCCAAGCAGCTTCAAACCAAGCAGCATCCAACTCCCCGAGTAATAATAATAGTAAAAAAAAGTATCCCAATGGATTTGTTTTGTATTTCATCATGCGCGCAATAATCACCGAGTCTCAAAAAGCGAACCCCATCCCCCTCCCAGAAACATCCGCGCCAGAAGATTTAACTCCTTTGATACACATTTCACACACCAGCTTTGCCTCTCCCATCCAGCGCTGGGGCTAGCGTCTACCTCCCGGATGGCCTTGAGCTGGCCATTTCTCCGTATCGTCCACGATGCTTTGTCGTGTCGTATGCCTGGAGCACACGCGTTTGACTCTCGTCTGCCTGCGAAAAGGCGTATCCGCGCTGCTTGCGCATGCGCTGTACTTGTCGCACCTTGCGAATAGCTTTTTGGAACTGTTCCATTCTATAAAGTGTTAGCATCCATATACCAAAGACGAATACGTCTAACATACCTTGGTCGATAATCTTGAATGTTGTACTTTTGAATCTCCTGGATGTGATGATATGTCTGCGGCTTGTACATGCGCTTCGCATATTTCCACACAAAGTCTCGCAGCAGACACATGACAGCGAGGTTGACTGTCTGAAGCCAGAAGACGGGGTTGGCAAAGAGCTTGGGCACAACACCGTGGTACTCTTTCGAGACACCAGCCATGGGCGCCACGATACCGTACACGGCGATGAAGAGGTACCAGAACGCCATGCTACCGGGGATGGCAATGACATGGTACTTTGTCCAGTTGCTCGTCACCAGAGCTGCCTTGCCGAGGACGGTGAGCAGGACAGCCCCGTACAGGGCCGTACCCCAAACCCAGTGCCCAGCAATCGTTCCGTCATCGAGGATGAGGTCGCCATACCAGAAGAGCTCACCCCAGATATAGAGCACGATCGAGTGGTAGATGGCGTTGCCGATCCACTGCGAGAACACCTTGAACTTGAAAAAGTAGTTCTGCTGGCCCATGCCATACAACTGGGGATATCGATCCAGGAGACGCGCCGAGATGAACTGGTCTAGGATACCGAGCACAAGAGGTGGTAGGACGGTGTAGAAGACGTTGTAGAAGGACAGCGTCCAAGATTCGTAAATAACCTGACCGGAAAAGACGTTTTGGAATGTGTACTGCACAAGAGGTTAGCTATGCTCTCCTTCACTCTCATCTTGACTTACCCAGAACTGTGTCATATACAAGGTAATGTTCTTGTAGAACGAGAACAGAATCGTCTTACTGACACGCTGATAACTCCAAGCACCGTGAACCAGAAGAAGCTTTCGAAGATACCTGAACTGAGCAATGGCCACATCGGCACTTCGCGCAGCTTGGAGACCTTCCTCACCACTGATACCAATGCCAATATGGGCAGCCTGAATCATCGAGACGTCGTTTGCTCCGTCGCCGATAGCGAGGAGAATCGACTCCTTCTGATACTTCTTGACCAGCTTGACAACCAGCGCCTTCTGAAGGGGAGACACACGGCAGCAAATGACGGCCTTGCACATGACGGCAAGATCCAAGAAGAGCTTCTCCAAGTCCTTTTCAAGCGCATACGTGAGAGATTTTCCATCAATGATCAGGGCCAGGGTTTCCGTCTCGATTGTGCCGTCTCCTTGTGTCCGGATGGCGTCCATCTTCTTTTGGATATTGTCTCGCGTGGCGGCTGCCGACTCTTCGTTCACGATCAGGAGCATCATGTCCTCGCTGAGAAGCTTGCAACTCATACCGATGTTGATGGCGGTTTCTTGTCGATCTCCCGTCAAAACCCAGACCTTGATGTTGGCCTGCTGAAGCGTATGAATAGTCTCAGGGACACCGTCTTGGAGTCGGTCCTCGATAGCGGTTGCGCCAAGCAGGAAAAAGTCCTTCTCGATAATCTCAGAAGCCTTGTCCACCTCATCAGCACGGTTTCCTCCAACCGTCATCTGAGCCGTGTCATAAATCTTGATCCACTCCTGGAACTCCTGTTCCGGCACCTCTCGCATAGCCAAGCACAGAGTTCGCAGACCTTCCGATGCATACTCCTCGAGATGTCGGAGAGTCACCTCGACATGGGGATTTTGATCGTTGAGACGTTCCAGAATAACCGTGTCAGCACCCTTGCAGTAGCATCGGATCTTGCCATCGGGACATCGATAGATGGTCGACATTCGCTTTCGAGTAGAGTTGAATTCGCAAACAGCAAGAAGTTCATACTCGGATTCCTGACCATTAGCCTCAATCAGAACAGACTTGGGCTTTCGAGCAGTGAACTTGTAGCCAAGCTCCACAGCACCAGCAACAAGAGCACCTTCATCCGGAGAAGCAGCCTGGTATTTGATCTTGCCCTTCTCGTCCATCTCAGGAATGACGGTATGGCAGGTTGCGAGCAGAGACAAGAAGTGATCAATGGCAGGCGCCGACTCGTGTCCGTCCTTGAGATTGGACTTGAGAGCCTTGTAGTCGAAAAGTCCAACTTCGACACCGTCTATCGTGGTTGGGCGGCGATCCTCGGGCACGTCGTCGGCGTATTGAATACCGGCGATTGAGCACTGCTTAAACTCCATCTGGTTGCAAGTAAGGGTTCCCGTCTTGTCCGAAAAGACATATTCAACCATTCCAAGCTCTTCCACTAAACTTGAGGTTCGACAGGTCGCAGGTGTGTCCGTCTTGTCGTAGTACATGTCCAGATCGTCGTTGATGAGAATTCCGTGCCAGTACTTGACCAGCTCCACAGTAACGAAGAGCGAGATGGGAACCAGAGCCGAGAACAGGACCCAGTATGTGACCATGTCCTTGAAGAACGTCTTGACGACATCTGCAGCGGTGCTTGTTGAGTCCAGATAGAGATATGAGAGCGCATCGCCATCCACCTTTCGCTGAACCAAGTCTCCCACGGTACTCACGATACTCAGCACCAGCAGAATACCAACCAGCAACAGGACCAGCCAGTTGAGCTTCCTCTCAACCTTTGTGCGCTTGATAGGAGCGGCCGTGGCGTTTCGCATAAGCTTCGTCTCATGACCGGTAAAGACAACGACACCGTGAACCCAGGGTGTGTTTCGCAGTGTAGCGCCTCTCAGAAGTAGTTGTTCCGGGTTAAGAGCAAACTCCTTCTCTCCGCCGCCAGCCTGCATCGTCAAGGTAGCCTCGTACGTGTACAGACTGCTGTTGGGCTGCTCCGACTTGATTCTGCCGCCCAGCCTACTGAGCTCGCTCGGCGAAACCATGGTCGAGGTCTCTGGAAGGGCCTGCTTGATCTTGAGATTAGTCTCACCGTCGAGGTTGGCCGTCTCGATGTAACAGAGTCCTTCGGGTTCTGAACTGGCGAGAAGAACCAGATCAGCCGGGAAAGGCTCCTCCGATTCCACTCTGATAATATCTCCAACAGCAACATTGATCCATTTCGTCTCCTGGAAGGTCGAGCCACGGAGAACCTGCGCCTTGGACGTGTTGAGGGCATTGTCGGCTTGTTTTCTCCGGTAATCCTCCACCAATTCCTTTCCGGCAGAGATGATGAGCACCACGATGAGGGGCGCAATGGTTGTGTACGGGTTTGTGGGCGACAGATTGGGAATCTGCTGAAGTGCGGCTGTGAACAAGAAGAAGATGTTTGCGAATTTTGAGAATTGTTCAAACAGGAACTTGGGGAGGAAGGTCGCGACGTTGTACTTTGCCGTCGAGATGTGGTTGTCGACGTACTTGTTGGCAACGTTGGCGGGCGGGTTGTTGAGGTAGATGAGTCGGGGACCCAGAGTCGAGGGGTCGGGCTTGGATCGCCCAAAGCCAAACTTGAAGTTGCCCATGTCGAAGCCCTTCTTCTGAGCTTGATGCTGCTGGGAGCTCCCACCAACAGAATCACCTCGCTCATGGCCCGGTTCTGTCAAAGGCAGATCCATCTCCGAGTATCCTTGGCCCATACCCAGCTTGTTCTTGACCCTCCCAAAGAAGCCTCCGCCTAAGCTCAAGACGCTGTTCCTATTCCGCGCCGTGTTCCTGCCCAGGCCCGGTGTGCTCTCGTCAGCTCTTGCGCTGCCCTGGTGGTAGTATGAATCTCCTTCGGCAGGATAATCGTCAAAATCATCAGCGTAGCGCTGGTAGTTACCCAGCTCCGACGTCTGGCTGTATTGCCGCGTCAAGTACGGGCTGTTGCCAGAGCCCGCCCCGGGCACATCCAAACCGCCAGCAGGCCTTGAAGCTGCATGCCGGTCCGCATCTCGAGCGCCGACAAAGTCATCGTAGGACACCGAGGTCCGTCCTTGGGGATCTTGGTTCTGTTCGTGAAATCGCATAAGGTCGTCATCATTGAGGGTGGAGCGCTGACCACCGTTGTAGACGGGTTGGTCATTGTCGAGGTCGAGCAGGAGGTTGTCGTTATTATTCGAGGAACCTCCTCCAGGCGGTCGCCCAGCCATGGCGGCGGACAATTCAGGGTCAGACTATCGGTTCGCGAAAGCGACGGTCGGCATGCGGAATCGTCGGGACGGTTTATTCGCGATGGGATAATCGATTCGGTAGGAGGAGAAGGAGAGAAAGGATGTTCGTTACGTCGGTTGGCGGATGCAGTGGTGTCGCTGCGCTGCGCTGGCTGTGAAGGATGGAGGTCGGGCAGTGCGGAAGGATGCCAAGCAACAAAGCTGACGGCAGTCGATGGATGGGATGGATCAAAGCAACGAATGGAGGCGCCCCTGTCGCGGTGTCTGTGGTTTGCTTGCTCTCAGTGGGCGGATGTCAGGTCAGGGTACAGTAGGTCCCGTCAGCAGTAGTCGGACACACTGAGCACACTTTGCACAGGTCCAGTCTAGCTGCGACTCTTTGCGATGGATGTGATGTGATGGATGCGGATGATGTTGTTGGCTTGCACTACCCACAGCACAAGCACAAAGCACAGCCTCCTTTTACCAGGCGCAAGCTTTGGGGCGAAGACGGATTCTGGAGGCCGTGCAGCGGCGGCGGGTGGGACGTCGACTGAGGCTCAAGGGACTTGGTGTGGCCAGCTTGCAGGTGGTGATTGGCCCAAAAGACGCCAGGAGAGCTCTGGAAGCTGGGATGTTTCAGTGCAAGCGTAGCGAAGCAGACAGTAACAAAAAAGTTTTTGGAACACTTGGTTTGCATCAACAATCTTCAAAGCTTGCTGAAAAGGGAAATTGATCAGAAAATAGGAGGACAGAAATTTTCACAATGCAACACGAGCGGGATTAGGTGTCGTCGCCCGTGGGATGGGGATTGAATTGGTGAATGAGAGTTTCGGATCCTGGGGGGGCTGGCGCGGTCAGATTTGCAGGCGGGTTGTCCTGTCACTGTCCAGAGGGTACAGGCCGTCGTCGCAGGTTTCACAGTGCTAGAATAATGGAATGGAGGGCCCTGGAGGGGACTCAGGGATAGGACGGTACGAGGTGGATAATGGATAGGAGCAAAAAGAGGAGGATCAACAGCAGCAATTCCACTTCAACTGCAAGGATCTGGCCAATTCCACCCCGCGCAGCAGTTGGTCCTCTTTGTTTCCATTCAATCATCCACACATCCATCCACTGAAAGGGGGCTTGAGCGGTGGTGGAAGGCTGAGCATCTCGTCGTTCGTATGAAATGTGTTGCTATTCGTGGCCCATACAGGGTCGTCAGCATTGGTTAAAGCCCGCCACGCAAGAAAACGCCAGGGGACGTAATTGCGGAGGGGGGATGGAAGAGGGTCCCAGCATTTTCAATCGAATGTATCGATCGTTTCCTCATCGGATCCACCCGAGGTACCCTGTCACGCAATTTTACTTGGTGACGCTACCTTCGTTTAACTGTCAGTCAGGGCCAAAAGTACCTCCTTCGATGGAGAAGGACCAGAAACGCCCCAAACCCCTGGGAGAGACGTCGTCACCTCGCAACGTACTACCTCGATCCATCCATTGCCAATGTCACGGTACGTTTATCTGGTGGCCTCTTATGGACAGGCAGAAGTTTCTATTGCTTTTTCAACATGGCCAAGCTTTCTCTTCATCTTAGATCTCTGGTAAGCTCGCAAACCAACCATCTCAAAGTAAGCTCATGTCATGTACGATGGAGGTGAGTGGTTGGGATCGGGGTCCTGTCCATGTCAGCAATGGAGCAACGTGTTAGTCGAGCAAGCTTTGCTCTAAATCAGCCAAGAATTCCCTTGTCAGTATCTGATAACGTCAAAACAATACATTCATTATTCGAAACTCTTTCCGATACCTCAGCAGTCAGATAACTTTGCCGTATTCTAACTCGCATCCGGCATGCACCAAGCACACCACTTATTCCAATAACCTCCAATATTCACCTTCACTCCAAGCAAAAGAGCCATTGCTTGAAAAGTTGTCAATTATCATACATAAAGTCATATCTCTACAGCATCCCACGCTCACAGAGATGCCTTCAATGCCCCGTTAAGCACCCCATCCGCCCACTTGGCAATCTGCCCATTGACATCCTCGGCCGTCTGCCACAGCGCCCAGTGAGATGCCTTCACCTCTCCTCGAGTCAGGTTGTCAAAGTTCTTGTCCATGCCCAGAGACATGGCCGGCGGCAGGGCGTGATCCTCCGTCGCCGTGATGAACAGTGCCGGCATCGCAAACTTGTGCCCCACCTTGGCGATCTCGACCTCGTCTCCGTGGTTGAGCTCCCGCATCCGGTACCAGTTCAACGGGCCGCGCAGCTCGGGGCTCCCCCGTGCCGCATACTGCTCTACATAGTAGTCCTGCTCCTCCTCTGACAATAGCCTCGACCGCTCGAGGAGGGGGAGGTTGTCGAACAAAATACCATCCTTGGTGCTGAACCCCCACTCTCCGTTTGGCCCGCGGCCGCCGTACAAGCCGGTTAGGAACTGGCGCACCTTTTCCTTTCCTTGGATGCGGTCCTGGACGTCAGGGCCGGCAAACTGGAGTTGGTAGGTAAAGTTCAGCAGGTGGCCGCTGGCAATGATCTTGTCGAGCGGGATGAAAGTCTCGGATGGTTCGTGGTAAGGCGTGCAGACGCTGAAGACGCCCTTGATCAGCTCGGGATGCCACATGGCGATTCTCCAGACGAGCGCACCACCCCAGTCGTGGCCGCCGAGGATGATTTGTCCATCTCCAACAAATTTCTGGGACAGCTCCTTGATATCTGCCGCGAGGTTCTTATAGGTGTACTCCTTCAGAGACTCAGGCGCATCGGTTCCGCCATAACCCAGCATGTCAGGGACAACAACTCGGAAGCCCAAGGACATGAAGTAAGGAACCTGGTAACGCCATCCGAAGCCAAGGTCCGGGAAGCCGTGGATGAGAACTAGAGTTGCCACGGGAGTGTTCTCAGGCTCTCCGACGATGTACTTCCAAGTATTGCCCCGGATCTCTGCCGTCTCGGCCTTGACACGAGGGTCATTCGGCGCGAGCTTGTCAGGCGCCATGGCTGGATGTGTCGTTGGCTGAGTGTTTGCGAGATTGCGAGGTGTAGTTGTGTGGGTTGGTGAACTATGATGACGTCGTTAGTTGTGTTGAAAAAGGTAGTCCACGACGTTGGACTAAACAAAGATTCATAAACTGGATAATGCTTGGGGAGAAAGAAGTCTAGTCCCAGGCTCGGGGCCATCGTCTCTTTATAGATTCTGTCTGTCTATATGGACTCCATCCCTTACCTATGAGGCACCACTCGCAACCAGGATCCCCTTTCAAGAGCATCAATGCAACCAGGAAAACTCAAATAGAAACGGGTTCACTAATCACTCACCGCAAAAGGGCCGTTCAAAGAAACAATGCAAGCTCGCAAAGTCCACAAAGTTCCTCGGACATCGCGGACCTAGGTTCCTCTCCAAGACTCCAAAACCTGTAGGGTGGGGTGGTGTCCAAAGTACCGAGGCACGGCCGGACAAGACTTCCATATGGCGACGTCAGGCCCGGGCCCGGCGACGACTTTGCTGACCGTGTCACGTCGGTGAGACGTCGCTCGTTGAAACGTGCATTTTAGTTCCCGCTTGCTTGCATGACCATGGCCATGTGTATGGCGAAAGCGCCGCTGTCATGAGTACGGAGCCGCCGAGATCACCAATGAAAGATCAAGGAGAACTGAGCGCGGTATCGAGTCAAATTGGTATCTGATGTTGATGATAAATCCCAAAGTAGAAGCGCCCTCATGATGCCCACCTCCATAAACGTACGTCGTTCTCCGACATCAAAGATGCATGTCATGACACCAAGCTAGAACACCTTGTATCCCGCCAAATGACTGAAGAAGAATAGCAATAGAAATGGGGAATAACCCTGTGAAATCATGGCCAGTGAGATGATATAACAGCCCCTGATTAGTAAATCACCATGTCCTCTTCGGCCTCCTCCAATACATCCGCCGACTCATCATGATGATGGTGATGGTTGTTGTGATGATGATGCTCCTTGTCTGGAGCCCTCCCTGAATGTTCTGAGCCATTCGTACTCCTCGCCTTGTCAACTGAAGCTTCGCTCGCAGGTGCTGGAACAGGCGCTGTGACAGGAGAAGATGATCTCCTGTCTCGACCGTTGTCCCTTGCATGTCGTTCTTTCCTGGCTGCGAAGGCTTCTAGTTGCCGCGCTATTGTCGCCTTGGCTTCCCTGACTTGATTGTCTATCTCGTTTTCTTGCTCTTCTGTAAGCTTCCAAGGTAGATAATACTGATATCGTCAGCACTAGCAAACCGTCAATGCTTCGCTCAACTCACTATTCGCGGTTGTGCCGTTGTCCGCAGGTACCGGGCCGTCGCCAGCATCTTGGTGTGTTTGTTCCGCATCTGTATCCTGCGTCAGCGCTGTATCCAACCACATACTCGGCTTCTGCCTCTGACTTACCACCTGCTCGTCGAAAACAATCTGCTCAGCCATCCGAATCCCAGTGAGCCGTGCCCTATTCTCGTCGCGCGCCTTGTCATCTTCGACCTTCTGTTTCTGGAGCCTCTCCTGTTGCCGCCGTTCAATCTCCAGACGGCGCTTCTGTTGCGAACTGCCCGTCGTCTGACTCAGGGTGCTCAGGAGTCCCCCAAACAGTCGCTTTCCGCGCTTCTTTTCCTCTTGCGTCGCTAGCCTACGGCGATCAGCATCGATGGCTGCAGAGCTGCCGTGTGACTCTCGGCGAGTTTGTGAGGACCCTCTCCTTGGTCGCTCGTCTGTTGCTTCACGGAAATGGTCGTCATGTCTTATGCGCTTGGCGGAGCCTTCCTCCTCGTCCTTCGATGCTCTTCTCTTCAATGTTTCCTTCTCCGGAGTATCTTGACGGTCATGGACTGGCGCATCTGTGTTGGCATCGGCGTTGGGTTGTACATCGTCCAATGTACGAACTCTGCGATATAGTTAGCATTCTGTACCAGGCAGCGGGTCTCGAGTCCAACGTACTCAGCATCTGTGGCCATTCTCGATATGCTCACGTATTTGAGTAAATCGCATCATACAGGATCTCATCAACTGAAAACAGTATGGCGAGCTGTCAAATACAGCTCGAGGCACGGACGTTGAGGCGTAGATAAGGAGGATGGATGGTTGATGGATCTCTTGTCGAGGCTGAAGAAGGTGGGACTGACAATGAGCAAATGTCGAGGAATCTGGCGTCGAGAGTGGCACCAGCCACAAGCGCCCCGCCTCGGCCGCCTGGAGTGTGGCGTCTTGATTGGCCCTCGCATTCGAAACAGGCAGAAGACCGCGGCAAGGCTGAGAAATCTCCAGCGCTAAACTCACCTCTTCAACCTCCAGCTTTGCGACCTCTCCGTCTTTTTTGTCTCTGATTCACCACCACAAGTCTTCTCAAACAAAGAGGCCTGTCAAATTCTCGTGAAATTCATCGCGGCGCTCGTCACCATGTCTCGTCATCATCCGTAAGTTCAACTCGCTCCCTCCAACTCAACTCAACTGACCTTTCCTCAGCGATCTCGTCATGTGCCGCAAGCAGGCCGGCATCGCCATCGGCCGTCTCTGCGACAAGTGTGACGGCAAATGTCCCGTATGCGATTCTTACGTGCGGCCCACGACCCTTGTGCGCATCTGCGACGAGTGCAGCTTCGGCAACTACCAGAACAAGTGTGTCGTGTGCGGCGGTGAGGGTATCTCGGATGCCTTTTACTGCTTCGAGTGCACGCGGCTCGAGAAAGATCGCGACGGTTGCCCGAAGATTATAAACCTTGGAAGTTCCAGAACAGACGTGAGTAGAATGATAATTGAGTCATCATTAGGCTTCGGGTTACTGACTTGTGTGTCCTCTAGTTATTCTACCAAAAGAAAACGAATCGTACAACGCAATATTAACCAATCAGTGGCCTGGGTTGGGCCGTGGATTGCGGTGTTTTGTGGATAAATCAAGTCAAGCTTCTAGACATGGCATCACTGGGGTTATGGGCGTTATTACGGATGGAAAATGCGGTTTTTGGATCAAGTTAGCCAATTCATGTCTCTGAACTTTATGACAGGATACAGAATTTAGCTGTGATTATCATATCTGGTTTTGAAATACTAGGTCCCATACCAAAACTCCTTATAACGGCTGGACACTAAATAATACAACAGTAGAAAGCGGTCAGATATAGCTGACCTTTACTCCCATCCCAGCTGTCGCCTTGACCTTATTCCAAGAGGCCGCTAGTATCCTCTTGACCCGTTCACGAAGGCCAGCATGACCAAACATTAGAATGAAACCCATAATGAACGCCAACAATTTGAACACGAGCGAGGGGTTGGCGTTGAGCGTAGACCCCAGGTTCTCGATAACGGTGCGTAGCCGTGTGATAACCATAGACGCACGAGAGGTAAGGGTGGGCGGTTGAGAGATTGCCTTGCCATTCGGGACGGCCTTGCCGTTTGACCTCGCTGTCGCTGGTCGGGCTGGCTTGGCTGGTCTCGAGGACGCAGTTGATGGTGCTCTGGAATGTCGTGGCCGACTTGACCCGCTTTGACTTCGAGTTTCGTCGATTCCATAGTCAACTTCGCTCCCTTCGCGCTTCGCGCGCTCCTCCTCTATCCTCTTCCGCTCCTTCTCTTCATTCTCAGCACGTAGCCTCTTGGCTTCCTCGATTTCTTTCCGCAGCTCATCCTCCTGGCGTTGACGCTCCTCCTTCTCAAGCCTCTCATGCTCTTGTTGCTCCTCATGGAGACTTTGCAATGCCTGGAGGAACGCTTCGCGACGCTCTTCATCCAAGACGGGGCTAGCGCTGATAAACTCGCGGGCATAGTCCCATTCATTGTTTCGCAAGAGTACGTGTAATGTGTATAGCTCGAGAATCTTAACTCGGGCGTTGAGGTCTCTGGGGGTGTCGGCGCCGCTCGCTCCCTTGGCCGGAGATCGGTACCGATTGGACATTCGCGAACTCGGCGATTCGGCAAGCCGACCCGCGACGTCGAGGTCGGGGGTGTTTGTTGTGGCTAGATAAGCCTCTAGCTTGTGCTGGTTAAGGGTCTGGTCGCGAGCGTGTGCGAGTAGCAATGTCGCCCTGTCTCAGTTAGCCAAAGGCCTCAAACGGGCACATTCCAGCAAGACTTACAAGTTAATAACAACATCCGAATCGACGTCACCCTCAACGCCGTGGTAACCATTCTTGGCGACCTCGTCCCAGATCTCTCCTTCCCGAACCTTGGTGCACAAGGCTCTCCACTCCTGGTTTCCAAAGGCATCCTTACCCTCCTCGGGTTCCAACTCGATGATGGCATTGAGGATGGTCAGGTACAAGCTCCAGACCTTGACGCGCGTTGTCCTCGAGGCACGTGTGACTGGTGCAGGTTCGCCATCATCGATAGCTTCGGGTGGAGTTATGAGTGGGAGAAGAGTTGTTAGAGCTTCGGGAAGACGACGCGTGAGGAAGAGCGTTGAAGCTTGGCGGTAGGTTTTTGAGATTGCTGAGGGATGCCGGGATGATGTGGACGAGGTGATGGATGCCGTCAGGATATTGTTGTGGTGGGACAGACCGTGAGACGCGGATGACGACACGGAGGTCGGACTGTATGCGGTGTGGTGGCCGTTGACAGACATGATGATGGAGCTGAGCGATGAAGTAGATCAGACCAACAGCAGCAGCAACAGCGGAAGCAGCTAGAGAATCGACAAAGTGTACAGCCCGAGGCTGAACATCAACATGAACGGTGATGCCGATTGTTGACTTTGAAGGTACCGAGGTCGGGTGACGAGCTGAAGGGGGGCGGTCGGTACGAACGGAGACGGGGGACAGGAGAGAAACGGCGAGTGTGAGCAGATGGAGATCACCCCAGATTCATGGTTCAATTGAGCGACGACGGGATGATAAAAGGAAATACGGGGTCAAGAGGGAAAAGGGAAATTTGCATCGGCGCACGCGTCGGGGCCGAAGATGATTGAAAAGGACGGAGCCAAGTCACTTTTGAGCTGGCCGGCCCGTGACATGTGGTTTGCAGGAAGGAGCAGAAGCAGGCATGCGGCAGGAACAGCAGTAGCAGCAGCACAGCTCATCCAAGCCAAGATGGGAAGCTGAACCAACCAACCAAGCAAGAAGAAAAAAAGGAAGCCACTGCAGGTGGTGTCCGTCCCCAGTACAGTAGCGCAGGTGCCAGGCCCCCGTCTCTCTCGGCCTTCCAGGTGATTTTAGCCTCGGCACCTTTCGACAACACCTGTCGGGTTGGTCCGGGCGGGGGGCCGTGCTGAATTTCCAGCCGTCCACGTCTTCTCTTCAGTGAGAGTGAGGCGCTGAAGCCGACAACGGGGACGGAACCGTGGCCGATGTGGAGGCGGTCCATGGCTGTTGTGAGATACGGCATCTGGTCGGAAATCCATCATCTTCTATTCCGTATTGTATAGCACATTCACTCCTTCATCTCGAGGATATCTTCATACATTACATCCTCTTTGTTTACTCACCGTTCCAGTCATCATCCGCCAACCTCCTCTGTATCCATCTAAACTGCCTCGGCTCCAGTCCAAGGCTTCACCGATCATCCATCCCCCATCGCATGCCCGGTCCGTGAGGGGACTAGTCCGGAAACCTGGGGAATGCCTGTGAATAACACTCGTTGGTGCACCCGTTGCATCTTCATTTCCCGTCAGGTCCAATGACCTACATTCGCGTGCCATTATTCCAACGACCTTCCTCTGTTTTGCTTCTCCTCCGTTGTCTAAATCAGCCTGTCACAACACAAAACAAAACATGCGTGGTTGCCTTCTAGAGCGTCGGGACGAGACCGTGACCCATCCAATGCCTAGCCAAGCCTCTCAGGGAGCCGAGTCCATCAACACCGCTAGTTTGGCGCATCGTTGAGTTGCGGCTTCGGCGGACTTCTTCCCGGCAATTCGTCACGAGTTGCTCTCCGCGCTAACGCTTACTTCCTCAACAACAATAAAAACAACAATGCCTCTGATAAAAGATTTAAAAAGCAAAGGGAGGGGAACAAAAAGAAAGTAACACGTTCCTGAATGATGCCATTCTTATCCGAAACCCTTTGGTTCTCCGGCGGAGCGGGCCCGGAACTTGCGACTCCAAACTTCAATCTCACGACGAAAACATCAACATATTTCCTAATTAGGGCATTCGGGCACAACACACAGTTCCGAAGTGTAGATGTAGGTTTGAGCCGGCGCAAAAGTAATATCCAATCGGCTATTATTTCTAAACTCGCTGTAAACTGCCATGACATTTAGATGGCCAAGAATATGGTATCGCCTCTTCCAAACGCCTTATCCAGAATGAACCCCCCCCCCTATCCAGCTCAACTTCCATTGCCTATTCAGGAGTTGACAGCCGGTTATCGCTTCCGCGTTGATCTCCTCACTGGTGTCCTCTCTTGCATCTCCTCCTCCAACTCCTCGCGAGCCATAATGATGCTGTCTTCTCGCTCAACAATTGATTCCTCTGCCCCGTTTAGCTGTTCCTGTCGCATCCAGCCAGCTTCAACCGCAAAACGGACCACATCCGCTGCGCAACCAAAGCACGGCACGTGCTCATCAGCGTCTGGGTTTAGGTATTTCCACATCTCCCGTGTCTCCTTTTTGAACCGTGCAAGCTCCTTCTTATCGCCGGCGAAATGCTCTGTCAGGTACTCATAGAGGTATGCCAGCCAGAGCACGTTGGTATAAGGAGCATATGCATCCCAAGAGAGCGGGCCATCTATGCCCTTGGCGTATGGGGTATTGTGAGCTTCTGGTGGGAGACAGGTCCGGTCTGCGCGAAGTAGGAATGATCGCATTTGCCGATAGACTTTGCATTGCGGTGCGTGAGTGCTTGTGAAAATGCTGAGATCTTTTTCAAGATCGTAAGCCACAGGTTTCGCATCGTCGATGGAGAGGTCTTCTCCTCGTGATAAGCCGTAGTCTAGGATGGTGATGTCGAGGCCTGAGAAGCCAAAGAAGCCCTTGGATGGAGAGCCCATCTTCTTTGGCGGCTTGACTTGTTTGATGCATAAATTGCCCTCATGAAGGTCGCGATGCTGTTCTGGTTAGTGCTAAATCTCACCCATTTTCAAGGCGGCTCACCTCAAACATGACGAGATCCTCCGCTCTCGCTAGAGCAATGGCCTGCAGGAGAAAAATATCCCATAGCTGGCTCTCGGTAGTCAATTTCCAATCCTCGAGCGCCGTCCCAGCATCGCCCAGCTCAACAACCAGAAAACGCGTGTCGTCTAAGTACCGACTCGGCGAAGGATAGAATTGAGCCCTGTCCGGGTCTTGTCGTTTCATCTTCTTCTGGAATGATTGGTGTGTCTCAAGCAGCTCTCTTGTCGTTTTCCCTTGGATAACGTATCGTTCCTTGTATATCACAAATCCTGGAATATCGGCCAACCATTCCGAGATTTGAAGTTCACCCTGGATGTCCTCTTCAGAATGCGGCTCTTCGTCGACAAGACCGGAGCGCACTTGAGCCTTGGTCTGTGGCTTAATGGGTGAAGGTAGTCGTATGACCTTGATGATGCTTGTTCCTCGGTCATTTGTGACACGATAGACTTCGGCGTAAGATGCTTCGGCAATTTTGTCGATCTTGTCACCTGGTGGACAGACGTCATCCCAAGTCAGAATTCGGAGTGGTGGTTCTTCTGTGGTCTCCTCGGGGACTTCTATCGGAGCTTCTTGAACTTCTGAGGGCTCAGTTGGTGGCTCTTCTTCTTCGCCTTCTTTTGTTGTATCCAAGGGTGGCTCGTCGGCTAGTGGAGCATCTTCTTTGGGTTCCTCAAGTGGCTTGCCCTGTTCTGGAGGAGCAACCTCAACATCAGGCGTTTCGATAGGAGGTGGCTGCTTTTTTGTCCTCCGCGCTTTCGTAGTAGGACGCTTTTCCTTGTCGATTTTAATTGACGATATCTTCTCCGTCAATAAGGATATTGAGTCTTCCTCATGCTTCGGTTCTGGTTTCGTCCGTATTGGGCTCTGTGGCAGCTCAGCGAACAGACGCTCAGCCTTTGAGCGCTTCGATTGCTTGCCATATTTTCGTGTTGTAGTACTTCGCGACATTTTTACTTGTCCTGCAAAACCGTTCAGAGCTTTGGTTCTCTCTCAATGGCTCTTTGCGCATCATGAAAGTCATCTCGAATGAGGTCACGAGGCGTTGGCAGGGGAACGAGACCCACTAAGAGATACCTAACTACCTACCTACTAAGATACCTACTTAGTAGAGTCAGCTGAAGCTGACTCTAGTAGTCATCTCTGGTCTAGTCTTTCAGCCTCTTCGTGCCATATATTTAAATATCCCCGCCATTGTCTGCCAGTCGCTACCACGTTTCTGTTTTTCCCTCTCTTTTCGCCATGGCGGCTGGCATGCGTTGCGCTGGCATGCGTGGGAAGCGCTATGGTGGAGCGCTGGCGCTGGCGCGGGGTGGGTGCGCTACACTGGAGGTTACGCTGCAGGAGGGCGCCCAGGCATCTGCGCATACACTCTTAACAAGGTAATATTATATATAAGGGTATTAAGAGTGTTTATTTTAATAGTATATTTTCACGGAAGGATATAGCTTCTCGGTGAGTAATCCTATGCGCTCTTTGGAAGTTGATTGTTTATTATACTAATTATGTTGGCTTGTAGATGTTTACTGCCCTGACCTCTTGACCGAGAACTGATACCTATCGCCCCTGTCAAGAAAAACAACTTGATCCTGTAATCCAGCTTCTTCCACAGCTTTCTTAAAGTCGCTTAGAGGAGACATGAAAACGTCATAGTCATCGTAGTGAATGGGGATCGTGACTTCTGGCTCCATCATCTTGATCATCTCGACGCCCTGCTTCGCATCCATCGTAAGCATGACCAGAGGCGCTGACGGCCCAGGAATGGTTGTGCCTCCCAGGTGAATCAGCATGAGGTCTATTTGTCTGCCCTGAAGCCACTTGGGGATATCCTTCAGCTCGTCAACTAGGAGGGTGTCGCCAGAGATATAGATTCGATATCTTGACTCGTTTCCATGTCCCAGCTCCAGCATCCACCCGTTGGTCGGTGGAACGGCGTTGAGTAGATCATTCACGACGGCCAAGGGCCCAGGTGGAACATGTTTGCCAGGCATGCCGATGATCCTAATGACCGGGGCTTCTGAGCTAGCTTCCGCGTTGCTCGTCTTGAGCTCCATATAGTCAAAGAAGTCGAGGGCCTTGACGTTACGGAACGGATCGTCCTTCAAAGTCAAACACTTGTGTGCGTGGGGAGTGGTGATTATCAGGAAATCTCTGTTGAGAGACTCCTCCACCAGCTGATCAAAGTGATCGGCATGATAATGCGAGAGTAGGATCCCATCGAGGGAAGGCAGCTCACCAAGCTCAACGGCTGGATTAGTCTGCCGCTGCGCCGTGACACCAGGGTCAAGGTGGACGTGATCGCCGGCGTGGAGAAAGTTGGGGTCGGTGAGAATGCGGAAGTGATTCCATTCGATGATGGTAGTAGCTGTTCCGATGAAGTAGACGCTTGCATCTTGGTCGCCTTTGCTCCCCCGAGGGTGTTGCTTAGTCGTTCTGGCGAGGACTGGCTCGTTATCACCGATCCTTGGGTTATCCTTTAGCAAGGGCTGCCTCTTGGAAGGGGCTAGAGAGATTGATCCTTTGTTGATAATTTTCATTTTGAAACTATTCGAGCATTGTTTGACTTAAGTTTGCTGTTCTCGTGGGTGCTGGGGGCGAGAAAACAAAACCGAGTTGGATGACGTTTGCCTGGCGTACATCACAGTGTCAAGCAATTCGCACCCTTTCGAGCCTTTAACGATATGAATGCATTCGTCATAGATTGTTCTGTGATTATTATTAGATTAGGTCCTAAAAAAGTATAAATACTCTCAACCGTCTTTGATAAGAGCAGCCAAGTTAAGAGGCTTGCTTAAATCTACTTGGCAACTTCTGCTGTACTACCCTAGGCTTGGATGATACACGTCAAGTTTAGTATCAAGCCCTTACTTATAACCGTGTCCCCTGAACCTCAAGTTGTATACGGTTAGCTGGCTAATGAAGGAAAACTGTCCTTAATGTATTTGGGGTGTGTTTGTCATCCGAGACCTTGCTCCCGGCCTGCCTATGATGCATCTAGGAGTACAGAGTGTGACATATTAACTACTCATGACTATTCGTAGTAACATAGCATTTAGGTCGGAATACACCTCATGCTTCGGTAGTCGGCGACGCCTCTTTCTTCTCGTTCAGCGGCTTCTATCCCTAAACCGTTGCCCTATTCACATTAGTAAGAGTAACCATGCCAAGAAGCGATTGACTTACACTTTAGCGTAAGAATATATCGACTTATCCCGAAGGGCCTTGCGCGTCTTGGCTAAGGAAAACCTACACCTCGGAAACCTCCCTAGCTCGACGGCTGTGTTTGAGGCGTTCGCTTGCTCTTCCAGAATGCTTCTGCACAACGTTGAGTCTTTGGGACAGTAACAACTCAGTCTGATGACTCCATATGTTGATTGAGTTATACCAGACTATTCAATGGAGGTTGTATGGTTGCCACTAGTTACTTCCAGGACAATGAAATACACGCTGCCAACTCATCGTCTGAGTCTTTGATGAGGAAATGTGCAGTTACCTGAACATGGGCAAGCGAGGATCCTTGATAACGACATTTCCTTGACGCCTAGACGATACTGGATGGTCTTGAGGATGACTGAATGATAAGATGGGATTTGGAGTTCATAACATTGCTGACAACGCTCATAATGAAGATTACTCTGGATACCTGACTATTAAGAAATAAAATTTACTTTACATTTCTTCCCTAGTAAATCTCTACTACAGCGTATCGACACAGGGCAAGCCAGGCTTGTTCATGACGACGCAGCGTCAACGGCTTTGACCAACGGGCTCAGGGGTGGGATGGGACGAATGGCGTGACATTCAGATGGTTCACGTCTTTTGCTCCAATTGTTCCTTGCATGATCTAGAAGAACGTTGACTACCTCGCACAATTGTTACCCAGTCGGGGAGCATAGCCCTAGGAATATGCTACTCAAGGGGACAGTCAAATATAAAGTATTATAGGGTTACAATAGGATTCGAGACGTCTAATGTGACAATAACGTTTACCTAACTCCGACCAAGATGTAGAAAGGTGCATGCACCCCAGAGATTCGGGCCGCCCCACAGTGCCATCCGCATTGAGCAGGAGCTCTCCTCTCCTCATTGCCCTTGGTCTCCAGCTCCAATTTTCTGCCATCTCCCGTCATCTGGCGCCGTTGGCCTCTTCGCTCTCCTCTTCCTCCTCTCCTCCTCCCTCTCCCGCCACGACGCTCCCTAACCTCCATCGATTAACCCCCCAATCATGGCCTCCTTCTTCAAGAACGCCTTTGGAGGCGGCAAGGCTGCCGAGGAGCCTGTCGCGAGCCCCGATTCGGGTGAGTTCAGCTGCCCCCCTCTTCTCGCTTCTCCTCCCCCGAGTTTCGATAATTGCGCCACACTGCGGCGCGTGGAGATAGCATCATGACTGACGCGCGCGACCGCATCTTCCAGACTTTGCCGACTTCGCCGATGCTGCCAGCCCGGCTCCTGAGCCTATCGTGCCCGATGCCTCTACTGAGAGCGTCGCTCCCGCCGTCACCGCTCCTCCTTACACCAAGTGGTACAACGTCCACGAGCGCCACTCCCTCTCCGAGTTCAGGCTTGAGGGCATGATCCTCGTCATCTCGAGCTTCATCTTCCTTCTGCACATGATTGGCGCAACACGCAACCGCTCTAGGGCCAAGGCTTGGATACGCGCTCACGCTCCTGCTCTCCAGAAGGAATTCGCTCTCGTTGGCTTTGGCGGCGTCCCCACCTTGGACAATGATGTCAAGCCTGATACTCTGATCAAGGAGAAGTCGCTCTTCGAGTTTGCGACCTACGCCACTGGCCGACAGAACACGGCTTTCATGGATGTCAAGCTCACTCTGACCAAGAAGTTCAACCCCATTATCAACGGATTCGAGCACATCATGGGCTTCTTCGTCGAGTCCTTCGACGCCCCCCACGATGTCGCTGAGGCATTGATCTATCCTTTTGATGGCAAGGAGAACCTTACTGTCCCCGCTCTCCCCGGTGCCGCCGAGGTCCGCGCCAAGGATTCCAAGAGCACCTACGATGGCTTCGTCTGGGCTGTTGTTCACAAGGATGTCATGCGCCAAGTTCGCGACCAGCGATACGATCTGTCTCTCACCTTCACCAAGGATAACCCCAAGCTGCCCCTCTGGCTGACTGTCATGAGCGAGAGCGCCGAGGTTACCGATGCCCTCCTCACCCCTGAGCTCATCGAGGCTGTTCAGAGCGCCGGCGATCTGTTTGAGTACCTCATCGTCTCGGACCAGCCCACCGACAAGCCCGTTACCCTTGAGGAGACCTCTCCTCGCAAGCGTCTCTTCCTCAAGTACCGCCTTCCCTCCAGTGGCAACTATGAGAAGCTTCTGCCTCTCTTCTCTTACTTCCTGCAGCTTCCCGACGCCCTTGTCAAGGTTGCCCACTTCCGCCCCGAGGTCACCAAGAAGGTCCGCAACACCCGTGAGAACGCCATCGCCGAGATTAAGAAGCTCGCCGAGGATCAACGCCAGGAGGAGCGCTCTTTGGAGAAGGAGAAGGCTCGCAAGGCTAAGCGTGACGCTGACCTCAAGGGTCTCGACGCCAAGGCCCAGAAGAAGTATCTCGACAAGGAGAGAGAGAAGGAGATGCGCAAGTCGCAGAAGCGACAGACTATGCGTGGTTAAAACAACCTCTGGGTTATGGGGTAGGGAATGGAGATGTTTCTCCTCGCTCACGCCTGGATGCTCTAGGGATGAAAACTGTATCAATAGTTTATGGCCACTAATTATGGGGGTGTTTATGTTGGATAGTCCATATTAAATGACACGATGTTTTATAACCAAGTACCATGGCACTCAATGTGTTCACTCACAAACGTTTGACACAAGCAAATAAAACGACAAGTTGGTATCATTGTAGCTATATGCAATTCAATGTACGGTGGATGAGCACCCGTTTTGCACATGGAATATTTTCTTTACGACTCTTTACTTTTTATCCTGCCCTTGGTCGACAGCATCCATCCAACCTATGCTCCGATACACCGTCCTAGAAAGTATAGATAACCTCCACTAGATATAGTATAGTATAGTATGTATGACTTTGTGCCTCTCCAGAACAGAACCGACTAGGTAAGAATTGTAGATGGTGGCTGTGAACCCGTAAAACAAATAAAAATAACGACGAATTGTCAATCTCTCTTGAACTCGGCCCAGTCTTCTGTGAGTATCCCGTCTTACACAACGTAGTTTTTTTTTGGTTCTCCTCGCGATAGTGGCTCGGTACCCCGTCACCCTGTGCACGGGATACACTGGATGGCGTGGCATTTCGCTGTAGGGCCATGGACCTTGGAGCTTGTGAGCCCTGGTGTATCCAGGGCGTGCTGCTGGACTCGGTTGCTTCTCGAGCGGACATGATCCAGCAGCAGTGTCTTCTGGACACGCCTTCTAAGCGCGAGGGATGAATAGCAAAGCATCCCGGAACTTTTCAGGTCTGCGACTCCTGCTAGATAGTGCTTCAATCGGTCCATGACATCCCATCATGTGGACCGGGCGTTCCGTGCATCTCAGCCGAACGCCCGCTCCGATGGACGCCTCCGAGGGGCCTGTATGTGTTTCCTCCAGCTTCCCTCAGCCCATACAGGGCTCAAGGAAGAAACCCAAGACCGTTCAAGGTCCCATCCACATGCCCCCATTGGCGGTGCCAGCCATGCTTTCAGGGCTAGGACCAAAGCCATATCCAAACAGAGTGGAGAACTCATCCATGACCTGTGGCACAGATGGGAAGGTCGCGTCCATGCCCATAAAGGGGCTGGCTGCGTGCATGGCCGGCATGCCTGGGCGAGTTGTGCTGCCTGCTCCCCTCCAGAATGCATTCGGGTTGGGGGGCAGCGGCATGGAAGCCTCGGGTGAAGATTCGTGCCTCATCTCTTGGGGGGGCACATCGTTCTTCCACAGGAGCTCCCATTTCTTGAACCTCGAGTAGTCTGTCTCCCGACCCGAGGGATCAGCAGTAGCGTCTAGCCGCGAGATGGCTCGCTCAAAGACTTCAATCAAGGAAGCCTCAGAGCGGGCCGACTCGCCACCGGCCGACATCTCTTTGATCATAGCCATGCCCGTGCGGAGACCATCGCGCAGCCTGTCGGTCTTCTTCTGCAAGCATTGGGTGATGATAACAAGCAGGGCAGCCCGACAAGAGCTGAACTCGGTGTACGATGCACGTGCAAGGCCGATGGTGGTCTGCAGCAAGTGACATGTCTCCACGATGGTCAGCGCAGCTTCGACGCAGTCTGCAACCAGGATGGAACGGGGGTTCGACTTGTGGGGGGTGTTGGGTCGCTGGTTGTTCGAGTCGGCCGGCGAACTCGAGGTACTTGCGTTACCCCGGATGGCCTCACGGGGAAAGATGAAGGGCCTCCCAGCATACATGCGTAGAAGACAGTACTCCAGCTTCAGATGCATGTCAGCGCGCGAGATTGGGTTCTGCAGGTTGATCTCCTTGCGGAATGCCGTCTCCGGGAGTGAATCCCACCACTTCCGAAGCTCCTCCTTCATGTCGATAACCCGCTGCAGACCTTCATTAATCT